ATTTAGGACACATCTTGCCTGTCTGTCCGCAGTATGAAGATGGAGGGAAACAATTGAAAGAGGAGGTTCAGCTGCCTCCCGCGGAGAAGAACTCGGCCACTGGGTTCACGGGAAAACGAAGCCTCCGCCACAACGGCCGATACTGCTCTCCTGCGATACCTGTCAATAGGTTTCAACAAAAAACTATAATACTAATTCACGTTATTTTTAATTCAATTTTAATATTTCTATTTAATTTCCTTCTATTTCTGTGTGCCTTCACTCTCCCCTCATCTATTTATCCTCATTCTCCAACCTCACCAAAGCCGGCTAATTGCTCTGGCTTCATTATCTACATATAAAAAGGAAGCTTGCGCAAGGTCAGTTTACTCTGGACACAGCGTGTTATTACACCGCTGTAAATTGAAAAATGTAGCAATAGGGCTGCAGCTCGACACTGGAACGCGCATTACAATTTCAAAGGGGTGAGCGCAATGAAAAGACCGAGGATTCCAGAGAAAGGTAATAACGAGAAAATAGAATATAAACCGCGACGCTGGTAAACCTTCTGGGACCCCCGTAAAATGGCAACAGTTTTTCGAAAATCCAAACAAAATATATTAAAATATGACTAGGATTCAATGTTTTCGGAGTTTAATTTTTCGTCAAATTCGGAAGGTGTTTTTCGGAGTTTATTTTTTTTTCCCGAAAATTTTGAGTTTGTAGGGGTTTATTTTTGTTTGACTGATACTGCGAATTAAGCTCCGAAATTCGGAGCTTAACTTCGCAGCGCTTTCTATGAAAAATAAATAAATAATATCCGGGTGTAAAGGTATGCTACATTAAGAAAAATAAAACTCGCTTATATCAATTAATATTTTTTCAGCTGGATTTGGCGTTGGTGCCAGTGCCATTGGCAATAGTAATTTGTCCCACGACAAAAGTTGCACACATGTGTGGCTTCGATAAACGTCGCTGTCTTAAAAATAAACCCCTGGAGGCAGCCGCCATGAAGCACGTATTCATCCCATCCTATTCCATGCTACCCCGCGGCCGCGCGAGGTGGAGTGGTGAAGGATGTGATAGGGAAGTTTCAACTGCCCCTGTTCCTATTTTATAATATCTTTACGGTCGATAGCTTTAACTGTTACAAAGACACAGCCTCTCCTTCCTCTTAAAAACACAAATCGCATGGCCCAAACTGGAAACCAATACAGGCAATACAGAGGCTTTTGTCATGACCCGAAAGTGCAATGACATCTCGTCCTGAACCTTGAGATAAGCGGTAAGAACCCTTTTGTCAATGATCCGAGACATAAAAGATAACCGTGGTGGCATTTTCCCGGAACCATTAACCCTGCGCGCTAATCCGTCTTTACTTTTTTTTTTTTTTTTTTTAAAGGGGGGGGGGGGGGGGCATTGGCACATCAACATTTGGAGTTTATCGAATGAATCCGAACTGACCAAAACTTTAGCGGCGGGTGTTCTTCGGAGTTTTCCGGATTTATCCGAAAACACAAAACCCTAAATATGACGCTGTGCTCCACACATATTTATTAATCTACCCTAGAGACTTTTTTAGTGTTGTGTCATCTACCCGCAGTCTCGGGGTTTTTTTTCAACCATACCCTCCTATTAAGTTTATAATTTAAGATCCCTTACGGTGTGAAAACTGTAAAATGTCTATATATATATATATATGAATGTATTGTGAAGCCACTTGTGTTTACCCAAGAATATATATATATATATATATTATGAGGCCACTTCTGTTTACCCACGTCTCAGCGTCCGAATCCATGTTGCTGACGCAAAAGCGTGCCCATGCGGAGCGTAAGTTCGTCTGCTTTTTGCCAAGAGGTTCCGATGGTGTCACAACGCAGAGCTCTCTGATTGGCTGATTGAGAATATAGTGGAGAACCTTTAAGGCATCTGACATTGAGGTCTACCCACTATCCTTTCAATCAAAGCCCATCAGAACTGGACGTCGTTCTGACTCCTGCACAAGAAGCAGATGGCTTGCTCTCCGCAGGAGTATCCGAGAATAAAATTAAAGCTACGCCCGACCCAGGCAAACGAAAACGCCAGCTGCTGGCGTTTCCTGTTCGGGTGGAGAAGGTCACGTGGTGCGCCGATTGCGCGGTTTTGGTTGACGCTGCCGCCGGCAAGGGCTCGCCGGCGATTGACCACCCGAATTCGCCATGATCTCCCTTTCCTTGCCCTGCCGGTTTGTGTATTGGTGTGAACGCACGCACGCTTTTTTTTTTTTTTTTTTTTTTTTACTATTGTAATACAACTTTACGTGATTGAAAAACAAAGCGGAAGGTAGAAAAGACGGTCAACGCTCCGATTTGCTCCGAAAAGCAGCGGTGTTTGGGGGTCGACTTCAGCCATGTCTAAATGCTTAAGGATTCTTTAAATTTAGTCCGGATGAAAAGAATCAAATTATAGACAAACTGCAAATAAATATCAATATTGTCACGTTTTTTGGCAAGGGCATGATTTACAGAATTATAGTAAAACCGGGATGATTGAACTCATAACCTAAAAAAAATAATAATGGTTTATATTATGGCCCCTTTCTGTCGTTGCCGCTCAGAAAGGTAGGGCGAGGCAAAGGAAGGCCGGAGAGGAGGAAGCAGACGGAACTCTGTAGAGGAGAGGGGGAAAACTACTCCTCTGTCCAGCGTTCCGCCTGCTTCCTCCTCCCCGACCTTCATTTCCCTCGCCCTACCTTCTTGAGTTTGCTCCCACAACAATCTCGAGCTACGGCGATCTAAATAAAACGAAAACTGAGCGTTGCCATTTTGTTTTACCGCAAAGTGAGGTCGTGACTCCAAACCTATGCTCCAAACAAACTATGCAAGAAGTTTCTTTTTTTTTTTTTCTTTTTTGTTTTTTCAAGTTTGTTTATTATGGCGAATTTCGGGAATGAAAGAGTATGTTCCTAATGATTTTTGTGTGATACAAGCATTTTCGTCATCGAAGAAAGCAGACATTTGTAACGGTGGGGGAAGGGGGGGGGGGGGGGGGGGAGCGATATTTTCAATAATATTAATTTTTCTGGGGAAGGTAAGGTTTGAATCATGCCAAGAAAGTCCACGCAATCTACGCCCCGATGTAAATCAGGATACGAATAATCTGGATTTCTCCTCCGCACCCTAAGCCCATCGAAAAGTGTCTGGGAGAGTGGAGGGAGGGTGGGAAGGGGTCTCGGGCCCCCACACCGCGCATCGCTCCTCGTGAAGGTCGCGCTACACGATGACATTGGGTTAGCTTCCGTTGTTTGTAGCGTCCTCTGCGGTCGATTGTGAGCTGAAACGTAATGTAAACAAAAAAAAAGGAAAAAAAAAAAGAAAAAAGAAGAAACAAGCGCCGACCCGTTATCCTTGTCGTACCGCGGACCGCAGCCGACCCTACGAGCTATCGGAGCGAATCCAAGGCGCGTGCGAGGGTTTTGTGACCTCGAAGAGCGGGCGCAGGCGTATGCGCAGGAGACGGGCGGATGGCGTATCACATGCTACGTTCACGTAGCTGTATTGGCCGAGCTGGCTCGTAACATCCGCTGCAGTCGCACGCAAGGTGAAACAGAGTATGGTACAATACCTGTTCTGTCGAGCGCGTTCCCATACGCAACCCTCATTCTTGAGTGTTGTTTTTCGCCGAGTTGAGGGTGAACTTTAGGCCGGTTCGCGGAACGTTACTTCAATGTCCCGAGGAGAACACAACTCCCGACTTCAAAGTACACCCCCAAATTTTGTCACGTTAAATTTGTATCGCAGAATCATACTTTCTCAACTCTGAGGAAGTACTGAGAGGGGGAGTATGAAAGTTCACCAAACTCTAACAAAAAAATGGTGTATCGTCATGTGGAAACGCACTATCGTCTTTTGAGACGGGAGGCACTCACTTGACCGAATGACGTTTTAGCGAACGCCCACGTTTCACGCCGTCATTCCCGAAAATAAGTGACGCAGAGTGCACCCCCAACTACCTTTAAAACAATGAATACCAGTACAAAAAGTGAAAGGGCACAAATGAAAAAAAAAAGTATTGAAAAGTATTTATACTTTACTTTGAAAGTACACCGTGTTTATAGTACTTGACTTCAAGTACTATATTGCGCAGAATGTAGTTACTGCTTTACTTGAAGTACATAACCTCTCATTTACTTTGCAGGTACTTCAAGCACTACTTAGATGGTCTTTACCCAACGCTGCATTTACCGATCATCACATTGCGAAATTCCCCTGCCCTTTTGCTATTAAACTCCGAATGCCAATATAAGCACAAAAAAAAAAATTGTATAGAACAATGAAAGGGCACAAATGAAAAAAACAGTATTGAAAAGTATTTGTACCCAGAGCTCGTGAGTAGTGGCAACAACAGCGGTCAACCTTGGCATTTGCGGTTTACAATCGCTGCTCCAGCACACCCCCGAGTACGGGGATCTGCCGCAACATTCGCCAACAAATGACAGGCTGAAGAATAATCCTCAGACTCGGAACTAACGAGTTGCAAGGTTTAGGACCGAGCAAGCCAGCTGGGGTAGGGTCCCAAGCACCAAAATATCAAAGCCTAGATCTGTACAAACTGAAACACCCAGAATAATCGGTTGGACACCAAACCCAAACCACCTCTCACTCTGTTATGACGTCAAAATTTTAGGGAACAGGCTTCGATGATTCCACATAGGTGGTGTTGACTGGACCCGCCCGCTATTATATGACAATCCAACGATCAGAAAAGCTGACATTTCTGTACTTTCTGTACGATACAAACGCAGGCGTGCTCACGTGGTACGCAAGCGTCGAACTGTGCCGCGTAGGGCACGCGCACCGCCAACACCTGTTACGAGAAGTCGCGCAGCGAGAGGCCCACAGAAAGCAGCTGTACCGACTGCGCAAAACAGGTGCTAGGCGATGAACGGCACAGGCCACGTTCTCATGGTCTAGCAGGGACGAGCGGTTGCGCTCGAGGGCGTCCCGCGTCCCCAGCCGCGACGACAGAGCGGACAGCTGTTCGCATCGACACTTTTATTACCAGCAACGGCGCGCTCGGTCTTCGTAGAAACAGGGATGGGAGGTCTATCTTACAGGCGGGTATGTACAGTGCGTCCTATGTACAGCGGCGGCGGTCGGTTCACACAGCCAGCACGGCGACCGGAAAGGAGGGCGTCCGGTGCTGACCACACAAGTCCGGAAGCGACACGCCGCGTCGTAGCGGCGCCAGGCCGTGGTCGTCGAGCGTCGCGTCTTCGGCGTCCCACGAGAGTCCCTTGAGGCCGGAGTTGAAGGCGAGCACCAGGTTGGAGATGGACTCGACCTCCATGGCCGCCTCGCCGCCGTCGTGAGGCTCGACGTCGGCCGGCTCGGGGTCGCTGTCCGTCTCGGAGTCTGTCGGGCAGAACGAGCTCGAGCGTCGCCAGAGCGCAGTGTCCCGCTTGCACCGCTTGGCGCAGTCCTCTTCGTCCAGCGTCCGCCTTCGCTTGGCGCACCTGACGGGGGCCTCCGGGCTCAGGCGGTCGTTGTTGGGCTGCACGTTTTCCTTGTCGTCGCCGCTCAGCTCGTTGCCGTCCGTGCTATCGCAATCCTCGTACGGTGACGTCAGTGGCGAGGTCGACGTCACCGTCCTGCTAGGCCTAGCCTCCGACGCGGCCTCGACGCTCCCGTCGTCGCCGTCGGTCGACACGTCGTCGTTGGCATCCTGCGGGCACGGGTCACTCACGGCAGGCTGTCCGAACGACGGGAACACGTCGTCCACGTACGTGGTCCGGGCTTTGTACAGCACGCTGGCCACCAGCAAGCTGCGGTGCAAACTGGGTCCCCCACGCTGGCATCGGGAGGTGGCGATCTTGCCCAGCGAAATGGCGATTACCTTCTGGGCGTCGTTATCCATCACCATGGTCCGGGCGGGGCACTGGCGGAACGGCGGCGGGACCCGGGGCGCGAGACCCACGGCTCCAAGACGCGCAGACTGGACGCTCGAGCAGGGAACGCACGGACTCACACCCCGAGCACAAAGGCAGCCGCAACAGACTGACTAACCGTTACGGGAAGTGAACACACACGCACAGGCGCGCGCGGGCGTCAGCAGGCGTCAGGACGCAGGATGTGACGTCTCCGACGTCCGACCAATGAGCGCCCGGCGCTATGACGAAATCGTCCCGCGCGCGGGATTTTCCCTCCAATGGCGGATTGTGGCCGCGAGACGTCACGTATCTCTGACGGCTGCGGGCTCGGGCAAAACAAAAACAACAAAGAAAATGGGAGCCTTCGCCGCTGCTTGTCCAAGGCTGCGAACTTCTTGTGCAGTGGTCGCGCTGGTTCTGTGCCGCGTCACTGACCGGAGTCGACCGGAGCGGAGGAGGCGATTGTTTCGTTCGCCTCCTCGGGTTTTTTTTTCGTTGTCATATTTTGTTTTTTTCCATAGAGTGAGTAGAAAGTTCCGTCGACGCGCATCGCGGTGGCGCGGCGTGTTGGGAAATCTCCCCGAGGTATTGCATTGCTACGTGTCCGCGGAGCAAATGCCGCTGCATGAAGGGCAGGCAGCCACAAACACCTCGCGCCGCGTGAAAACAGCTGAGTGAGCCATGGCCGCTTCTCAGCTGCTCCCAAGATTGCGGCCGCCGCGATGACCCAGTGGTCTCGCGTCGGTGGCTAGTGCCGAGGAAGCAGCGGCGTTGACACCGTCCCCCTCGCTTCGTGCCTGACCGTTTCGTCGAAACTCGACTGGCGTTCATGCACCTGGCTCGTCGATATTTCTGTTCCACGACGGCAACACTCGTCGGATCTTCCTTTCACGGACGTTTCTCTGTAGTGTTGTGCCACCGTTTTTGGCTCTGCTTCTTGTTGGCGTTGGGGAGATTCCTGTAAACACATTGCACACAAATGCGGCTTTTGAACGTGGTCCGTGCCGTGTTTCCACGGCACGGACCACGTCCTTTTCTTATATATCCAAACTTTCCCATGCCGAAAGAAGCGTTATTATGATTTGACCAGTTTGAAAGACGAGGTAACAACTTGCTTATGTTACATCATTGGATGAAGCAGTTATTCCGCTTGACGTAATTTTGTCAACGAGTCAACATTCTTTAATGCATTAATATCAAATAACCCAGAATGCTGTCATGTCTGATAAGTACCCATCATCTTGCCAAAAACACGCGCAGCTTGCAAAGCAGTCACGCTTGCAACAAATACTCAAGCACGCAGGCAATGCTTCTTTACGGTTGTAGCTAGCCATCTGTTGCCATAGGATTTGCTCTCACTACATTTTCTGGGAATGCAGCTTGAGTCGTCTTTCTAGCAATACAAGTAATTCAACGCGAGTGTAGAAAAACCCGGGAAGCTTGCGCTTGTCTACTTTTCGGTGTACCTACGGTAATGCTCAATAATTTTCCCAACTGGCCCACAGGAAAGCTTAGCTTGCGTCCAATCACCGTAATAATCATCAGGAAACCACGGGTTTTCAAACGTTCTCTCACAAATTGGACATTATTCCAGTGTGGACACGTCAACATAGAACTTCCAAGATGGTTGTTGTGAGTATTGGCTCTCCATTGAGTCTAAACACCCAATATTTTGGTTCTGCAAGTCGGCATTGTTCCATATCAGAATTCTGTGTTAAGTTGAAGCAACCGAGCCGTGTGCTACCACAGGCCTTTGTTACGAATGAGTCAAAACTGCACCTCATCATGTACTTCCCCGAGATGGAATTTCCTGCAGGAAATGCTGGCAGATGCTTCTCAAGTGTCTCTTGCTGCCATTCTCTTCATCGGCAATTCCCCTCAACTTGCAGAAATTGTTCCTGCCGCTACTACTTTGATTGGAATATGGGGTGCCCATGGGGCCTAGTCATGGTGAGTTTTCCGATTGCCCCAGCTGATGACACTCCAAAGCTTCTGGCACATATGCTCGTTTGAGGCATGTGATGACCTTGTTTCTTGGAGCATGTTCGCAAATGTCTTTACCTTGACCCTGCACAAATGCAGGTTGAATGACCAAAGGCAGGTTTGTCTTGCAAGCTAAATATAGTTTGGATGTAGATTCAATTTTGTTTATAATCACCCAAAAACTAAACAGTGTTCGCATCCATCACTCGCAAGTCCAGATGTTTATGAAGGTCACCAGGTCAGAGCAGACATTAAACTACAAGTGCATAGATGTGCCCCAAAGAGATAAGAATGCCGCCTTCGTCGAAGGCTGGTAAGCCTGCATCCAACGATTCTAGGGTATTGAGAGTATGGAGCTGGAAAGGGGTGGACGGAATGCCGAAGATAACATTTGGATTCGTAAGCATGCTCCTATACTAAGGGCATTCGGGGTTCTTGTTTGACAGGTTGGAACATAACCACAAAGTCAGAAACAAATCTGCCAGGGTGGACTGCACTTACTTATTATAATGGACGTTCCCTCCTACTTATTATAATGACACCGATGCCCCTGCTATCCTTCATTCACTCTGACTCTAGAATGCAAGCATTTCTTGTTCTACTATTCAGTTGACCTTGCGCCATGCAATCGCACTTGCCGCTGGCAAGTTGAGTGGAGGTCGCAACCCCATGGTCCTAAAGCCAAGAACGGAGTGGTGCAGCCATTACGCAGCCTTCACTGAACCACTAAGTGGAGAGGGGCATCTCTTGCATCTGGTTTCTCTGGAAATCAAACTTCCTGCTCCATTGGTTGGCCGAACAACATCAATGAGGGTGGCCTCTTCCTTTCTTCACCGTCTCATCCCGAGAATATGATAATCAAGTGAAATGGGAACCAAACAAGACATTAACTACTTCAGTTTGTATCAGCTCCTGTGCACTGTGAATGCGAAGTGGAGAGGGGATAGTTTTGGGGAAATATTTGGAGGGGTTCGAATTCTCTAAGCCCTCGTACGTCATTCTACTGCCTCAATTAGCGAAACGGCACTTCATGGATTTTTCTTTTTGTATAAATATGACAAAAACACTTCGATGTAAAGGAGTGGGTTTAATAAGGTTAACATGCACATAATGAGTGAGATTGTCTTATGTGGAAATGCTGGCTTCAGACAGGCTTCTGCAGTGTATAGAAGTTGCCGGAAAGCACTTTAGGAATGCTGTGTCGTGGGGAAAATTAAAGCGTCACTATTTCCATGGAGATCAACAAGTGCGAACGACGCGTCGGTGAAATTATTACTTTGTGCAGATTATTGTCGAAGCAAAGAAATATGGCGACTATGGCAAAGAAATGCTGCGAGGCAGCAGAGACCATTAGAGAAGCCCCAAAGGGCACTTGTGGAAGGGACCAGTTAGGGATAAAACCTCGCATCTTGCACCCCCGAGGCTGAAACGAAACCCCCATGCCACAAAGGAAGTCACTTCTTGAAGTAAGGACCGCGAAACAGACGTATGCCCATGCAAACAACGAGGAGTTGCAAGACATTTTGTTTTGTTAAAGTGATTATAAGAAAAAGAAGAAAAGATCCAGACTCTTCAGATTTAGAAAGCAAGCTACCCCGATTCTGAACTAGTTCTAGATTGGCTAAAGAGTATTTCGGACGAGGGACCGATGTCGCATAACGCAAATTTGATAAAACTTGGAAAACACAACGGGGCTCTTCGGGGCACGTTTTGGAATCGAAAGTTGATGCTGTCGGCAGGCGTTTTGCTGGAAAGTCTCCGAGTACAGTGGATACCGACATCTCTGCAGTGCAAGAAAGGACCAACATCGAGGTTACCAACAGAATCAATGAAGCAAGCAAGCACAGAAGGTGGTCGAGAGTGGCTGTGTGGTATACATATAGGATGCTTGAGAAATAAACCAGTTAACTGAGTTTGAGACATTCTGTGTTCCTTTCACTAAAAGTTTTTTCCTTTTCTGTACCACAGTCTCGGGAGTTAAACGACATGGTCCTATTTTCAGCATTAAGTCATATGTTACCAGACAAAAGAGGCCATCCCCTTTGATTTTTGGCTGTCTTTTGGCAACGAGCGCGTGCTGGGGGCCAAGCACCTGAACCAGACGCCCTGCCCTTTTTGTCCTCTCGGGGACTGTACAAGAAAGTGTCTGCATCTGCAGGAGAAGCTGCCCTCGCAAATGCTGCGACTTGACAAAGTTCTTGCGGAGCAGTAAACGAAGGCAACTTCTGGAAATTAAAGGCAGAAGGCGGTAATGTGCATCGTTAATGGCGAATCAGTAGTGGCAGTGTGGATAAAGCACATTAGGAATTGGTTAATTGGCCCCAGGATAAGTTCTCGACAATATTGCCCAAAGTTGTGACTGGACCTTAACGAGATGGAAGCTTGTGCGAACAGGTTGTTCCCATTTGAAGACGTACGTTGCAAGGGAAAACTCAAGTGCTGCAGCGTGTTTATTCTGTCCGTGCTCGTCTTTTGTGCTGCAATTTTTTTAACTGTGACAGAAGTGTGGAGTGGTCGAGGGAAAATTCGAGCTGGCTTTGTTCGAGGGCTTGTGGAGGAACTGAGGCATTGACAGACCTTTCAGCATCGCATGTAGTGCGGCTTATTTCATTGACCATATAATTCACAAGATAACATTGAAGCAGAGTAGACAAAGCAGGCGTTGATTGCAACAGCCTAAAAAAAGCAATAGTGACAAAAAGCAATATTTAGTGCACTTGTCCCTGCTGGAAATTGGAGCCCACTCACAGAGATACATGGGCACTATGAGCTTCGACGTGCGGTACATACCGCATATGTAGCACCAATGTACGCTGCAGAGGAGCTGCATGCTGGAGAAGAGGCAGATTTATCATTTAAGAGATTCAAATTTGCGGTTAAAACGTTACGACTTGTAGGGTCCCTCGTTTTCTGGGTTTATTTTTCTTTGCATTTGGGTGTCTGTTTTCAGGGTTAAATTCTTTTGGTGTATTTCTGTGCCGGACAATAAAGGTGTGTTCATCCGGGTTCATCTTGAAAGAAACGGGACACAGCTGTGGTATCCACCAGCCTTTGGGGAAACTGTGCGTGACTCCAAGAACATGGGTGAAAAACTTTTTTTTTCAATAATAATAAATCAGATTTGATTCAAACCACTGTAGCTAAAAAAAAAAATATATATATATTTTGTATTATTATTGTAAAAGACCGGGCAAGCGCCCACTCAAACTTTGGAAATTATCACAAAAAAATGGGGGATGGGCGTTTGTCCAGTCATCAATTTTGTATATAAATGTACACCCGCCGGCAATGTGAAGGTGAACACCTTACCTGGTTTCTTGTCTGTTTTACGACTCCCTAAAGTTATATTAACTCTCAATGTCTCAAATAGTATGTCGCCAAGGGTCTAAACTTTGCGTTCTAGCCCTCTTTGGAACAGAGCTTATTCCAAAACTCGCAAGAGCATCAAAAACAAGAAGAGGGCTGTTCAGCTTCATATCGCTCACGGGTGTACTGTGCGTATTTTCTCAGATCCTACAAATTTGGGGATGGGCGCTTAATGTGGAATGGGCGGATGCGCGGTATTCTATGGTATATTTTTTAACATGGCAGATTGATTAGACCATTTGTCCTACTGCTGATGATAATGTGGGAGAAATAATTACTGTAAATGTACAGTTTTAGTAATAACTTTTTATAGCGGTAAGCACTGCCACATTGGAACAAAAACATTTTTTTTAGCTTTTTAAAAACTTTGTTTTTCTTATTTTGTTGAAGAGGACATTGCATAGCTGACGAACAAAATGGAAATTAGAAATCAAGCTCAACGCTTAAATTTTATCAAAATCTTTTTGCTCGTGTTCAGCTTTAAATTAATCCTTCTGGGTTGATGATTCTTTGGTCCTACTACAAAACAAATGTGCATAGAAAGCATGAAATAATAAACAAAAGGTAAATAAAAATATTTTCGGAATTATCTTTGCGAATGATTATCTA